GAGGTCTTGGAATGGGCGAAGTTATTGGCCTTTGAAAAAGTGGAGGAATCAGAATAATCCATTGTCTTCAAACCGTGAGAAGTCTTTGGGTGTTAGGCCTGGGGGAAATTGCTTATTTCTCAGAATAGGTGTGAGGGGCGATGGTGTATTCGTTATGGGGTGTTTTGATGTGATATCGTCCTATATGAGAAAAGATGTTGTTAATGTAGAGGTGGTCTGTGGGGTGGGTGGTCTGTCTTTCTTGGGTAGCCAAAAAAGTAGTGATGGGTGGTCTTGTCCCAGGAGGTCGTGCTCCAGGTCTACCCAGAGTTTGAGTCCCAGTGGTGCGTGTAGGTGTTGTATTTGGGCCAGTTGGGCCGCTTGGTAGTAGTGATAGAAATTCGGGAGACCCAGGCCTCCTGTTTTTGTGGTTTTGTACATTGTGGATCTTTTAATACGTGGTCTCCTGTTTGACCATATGAATCTGTCTATGTGTATTTGGAACGTTTTAAAGTCGTGTTTGGAAATGGGTATTGGTAGCGTTTGAAAGAGATAGAGAAATCGGGGGAGGAGATTCATTTTTACTGAAGCTATGCGCCCTAGCCAAGATATGGACATGGGTCCCCATTTTTGCAGGTCCAGCTGTGCTTGGCAGAGTAATGGTGTGTAGTTCAGGGCATATGTTGTGTTCAGGTCTGCAGGAAGATATGTTCCTAGGTAGCGTATATTGCTTGGGTTGTATCTAAATGGGTGGGCTATTTTTAGTTGTTCCAGAGTGTGTTGTGGTATTGCTATTGGGAGGGCCTCTGTTTTTTCCAGATTGAGTTTATACCCAGAGAGGGTTGCGTATTGTTGCAGGACTGTTAGTAGGGGTGGTAAGGATTGGGTGGGGTCCGAGATTGTGAGGAGGATGTCGTCGGTGTATGCCGCTATTTTGTATTTTTCAGACTTTATTTTAATGCCCTGTATCGCCTGTTCATTTCGTATGTTTTGAAGAAGAGGTTCGAGCGAGAGGGCAAATAAGAGTGGGGAGAGTGGGCAGCCTTGTCTCGTCCCATTTTTGATTGTGAATTCTGGGTGTTTGGTGTTGGGGATAAGGAGTGTAGCTGTGTGTTGGTTGTAGAGGGCCCTCAGGGCTTCTAGGATGGGTGTCGGGAATTAGAATTTCTGGAGGGTGGCAGACAGGAATGGCCAGAGTAAGCGGTCAAATGCTTTTTCGGCATCCATTGATAGGAGGAGGGTTGGGGTCTGTCTCCTGTGTGCCACCCAAATCAGGTCGAGTGCTCGTCTCGTGTTGTCTGCTGCTTGTCTTGTGGGGATGAAGCCCCCCTGGTCAGGATGTATTAATTTCGGTAGAAGTAGTTGGATCCGGTTGGCTGGGGTTTTAGTAAATATTTTAGTGTCTACATTGAGTAGAGAGATGGGTCTAAAGTGGCCTGGGTCTAGATATGTTTTTTCCGGTTTTGGAATGAGGCAGATGTTTGTTCTGAGCATTTCCTTAGGGAGTGGGTTTCCTTGGAGTAGTGAGTTCCCTAGTGCTGTGAGGTGTGGTATTAATGTGTTTGCGTATGTCTTATAGTAGAGGCCTGTGAATACATCTGGTCCTGGGCTTTTTTGGGGTTTAATTGTTTTTAGTGTGTTTGCTATTTCCTCTGTTGTGATAGGGGCTGATAATCTTTCTATCTCCGTGTTTGTTAGCGATGGGAGAGGGGTGTTCCGGAGGTATGTTTTGATGTCGTGTTTTAGGGTTGGCGATGGATCAGGATTGTGATTATACAGTGTTGTAAAATATTGGGAGAAAATCCTTGCCATGTGATCTGGGCTTTCGTGTGTGCTTCCTCCTGGGGAGTTTATTTTGGTAATGCGTTTATTGTGTGTTTTTTGGTGTAGTTTGCGGGCTAAGAGGGTGTCTGCCTTGTTTGATTTCTCGTAAAAGAGCTGTTTGCTCCATTGGAGGGCTTTTTGTGAGTCTTTGGCCATATAGGATTTGATGGCTTGTTGGTGAGTTTTGATCTGTGCTAGAATTGGGGTGGGGTGTTGTTTGTGTTGAATCTCTAGGGCCCTCAGCGAGAGGAGGTGGTCCTTTAGTTCCTTTAGTTTTTGTTTTTTGTGTTTCGTGGCTTCAGCAATCAGTTTGCCTCTTATGGTCGCTTTGTGTGCTGCCCATAATATGCCTGTGGATTCTACTGAGTCTATGTTTAATTGGAAGTATTCTGTGAGCGTCGTTTGAATGGATGCCCTTATTTCAGGGATATGTTCAGGGAGTGTTGGGTTTAGTCGCCATGACCATGTTCTAACTGTTTGTGGGATTGAGAGTATAAGGGATATCTCTGTGTGGTCAGACCACGTGATCGTGCCTACAGATGTTTTAATGTCTTCGGTTAGGAGGGAAGGGGATATCAGGAACATATCAATCCTGGAGTAGGAGAGATGAGGGTGGGAGTAAAAAGTGAAGTCAAGGGTTGTGGGGTTTTGCATTCTCCAGATGTCTTGGAGACCTGATTGGAGTACAAAGTTTGAGAGTAGTTTGTCCGTTCTGGTCATTGGGGTTGCTTTGCCAGTGTGTGTTGTTTGGCGTTGTCGTTCAGTTTGGGGGTCGATGACCGGGTTAAAGTCCCCTCCTGTAATCATATGGTGGGAGGGGAACAGTTTGAGGTGGGCCTGGATGGCTGTCCTGAAGGTTGGATCTGGGTTGTTGGGGGGCATATATAGTGGTGATCGCGTATTTGTGAGTGCCTTGCTGTCCAATTATAGCAAGGAATCTGCCCTGATGGTCGACTATGGTGTTTGTGAAGCTAATGGGGCATGTGTTCCGGATGAGTATCGCTACTCCGTTATGTTTTCTGGTCGGGGAGTTTGCTAAGTGACATTCTTTATAGTGTCTGTTTTTAAGTGGGAATGGCCTCGAGGTCTCAAAGTGTGTTTCCTGGAGGAGTATTATATCTGTCACGGCAAGGGTGTATCATTTATTATTACACTATGGAATATCATCTTTTAATGTAATTTGTGTAGTAAATAGCACAAATTACAGAGATGCTATTGCTGAGGTCAACAGGGGTTACATCTTTTGAAGCTGGGACCCCCACAGAGGTCAGATGACAGAAGGGGTAGTGTGAATGGCATAGGGATGTGAAAAGGATTTTACTATATGGATGTGAAGTAATCAAGGCTATGCAAGGTGTGAGGTTCTACACTTGGAAAAGTCTGAATGTCTCTTCATCCATTTGGCATGTACCTTGTAAAGGATAGTTCAATCATTTGAAATGGTAATGGGATTCGTTTCATGAAGATCCTTGTGTTCCAGTATCTTATCAAAGTGAAACATTCATACTTACCCACAGGTTAATAATTAAGCCTCATTTTTATTATATTTGGAATGGGACAAGCCCAATCTTTTAATTAAGCCCAAACATGAGTTGCACAACTTAAACCGTGTGGCAGGACTTGTGATGTCCATCCTATTGGATTGTGGGCAGGGCGTGCAACATGTCTTTGGAATGGGAAAACAATAACAAATTCATAGAGGCAATTATTATTTCTGTGGCAAGTACAGTAGAGGAGATAAAACCGAAAGTTTGTATGTGGGTTGTTGGTTTCTGGAACAAAGGAGGTGGTCACTTAGTATCCCTATTGCTCCACCCCTGGATGAGGCGTGGCAATTCACAGGGTATATCTCCTGTGATTCTGAAGGGTGTTTGTGTACTTGCTTGGGGCCAAGATCTAATTTTGAGTGAGTCACCATCTTTCCTTGCCAGAGACCCCCTGGACAGAAGTTGTACTTTGAAAACCTAAGTGAGTAATTAGGACTTCTGTATTTTATCCTTTTTGTTTTTATCTGTTGTTGGTGTAAATAATTTGTTTATCCTATATTTTTATATGCACTGTGACTATCTTTTGCTCATAATAAACATTCATTTATTAAGTTTTGCCTTTGTCTGGTTAAGGATCACGTTACCTGAAGAGACTAGTTAGTATTTTTATAATTCCTTAAATATTGTGCTAAGTAATATTTGGTGGGTTTTATTATTGATTTACCAGGGGGACCAAGGCACCCCATTTATAAATTGTCTTGGTGGTGGCAGCGTTAAAATAGTAATAGTTATATTATTAGGTTTAAGTGTGTGGAGAACCCAGGGTCTCTCGCCCCTTGGGGTGAGTGGTTCGAGAAGGAGGGTTTGTGGTGGGTGCATTTGGGGTGTGGTAAGTGTAGTGTGGTCCCCTAGTGGGAGGTACTGTGAGGGAGAGAGGAGGAAGGTTTTTCACATTCCCATCTCCTCTTCTCCCACTGCACTTTTGCCAGTGTATCACTCACGGTTGTTCGGTGATTTTTTTTGTCGGTTCGTTGTACCTATTCTTTTGGTGGTATGGGGTTTCGTCTCTCGCCCTTTTGTGTTGTATGTAGGTTTGCGTCGTCAATTGTGAGGTTCGCTTGGGAGAAAAAAAAACATTTTAACATATATACAAGAAAAACATTAACATCATGAAATGTCAGCGGTTTTTGCCTCAATTTAACCTGTTTGTCGTATTTCCAGGAAGTTAGTTGTCATGGTTTAGTGCCTAGATCTGCCCGATATGGATTTTCTCTTTTAATTCTAATTCTCTCCCCCCCTCTCTTCGTGTTTCTGTCTATGTTGTTTTAATAATTTTATCATCGTCCCTTCCTTCCCCCATCCTCCCTTTGTTGTCCTTCATCCTCTGTGTGAGAGTGGGGTGTACGGTGAGTCTTGTCCGGTGTGCTCTGCTGTTTTTAGGTGGGGTGGGGTCAGGTCAAGGTGTGAGGGATGGTTTTGGGTCTCTGTGTTGCCTGTAGGTCATTTGTGTGTGTTTTCATTAGTCCGAGTGTCATTTGTGTTTTCTGCGTTTAGTGGTCCGTCCGGTCTGGGGTGTAACTCTCCCTTCTTCCCACCCCTGTTAGTTCCATTCCCTCTGTGGTCAGTCTCACCACTCCCTCTCCGCGTTTCCCCTTTACCCTTCTAGTGATCAGAGTGTTCAGTTAATAAAATTGCAAGAGTAATGTCTCTTTAGTTCGTATGTGTTTCTCTCTTCAGGTGTAGTCCAAGGCGGTTTTGGAGTAGGGGTTTCCTCTGTAGTGGATCAAATGGGTCAGTTCTTGTTGGGTTGGAGGAATGTGTTTGGGGTCCTTCCTGGGGGAAGAGGGTGGTCTTTGCTGTCTTCCTTATTTGCGTTGTTTTTCTTCTCCCCTTGTAGACGAGGGTCAGAGCTCGCTGATATGCGTTGGCGCTTTCTCTTCTGGTGTTGTCATAAGGTTTGAGCTGTAGCCAGAGTGTTTTTTTTGGGGGGGGGGGTTTGAAATTCTCGGAGGAACCACCTAGGGGGCAGTAGTAGTCACATCTTGAGCAGTGTCCCAGGGGAGGTTGCCAGGGGCTTGGGGTTCTCAATCCTTTGGGTTTAGATCCATCGGGCAGATTCTTTGTGGTAAAGTTCCTATTATTTGTCATCTGTTGCGTCCTCCTAGTGGCCTGAGCGGTGTGGCGGGGATTTTCCTTCTTGACGTCTAGTAGTGGTGTTGTCTTCTGCGGTGTGAGGGGGACTTTTCTGTTTAGCTGGGTGTGGGGATGTAGCCCTCTCTGGAGCGGTCTCTCCCCCTGTATCCCGTTAGAGGGGTGGGGTTCAGGAGCTGGATTCCAAGGGAGTCAGCCATTGGGACCATTTCTGCGGCTGTGGTGAGGATATGGGTTTGGTCGCCTTTTTTAACCAGCAGTTTAAAGGGATGGCCCCAAGTGTATTTTAGCCCCTGTTCCTGGAGGGCCAAGGTGAGGGGTTTTAAATCTCTTCTCTTCTTTAATGTAGCTGAGGCCAAGTCCTGGAAGAAGGTTAGGCGGGTATCTTTGTACTTGGGAGGATGGTCTCTGGCTAGTTGCATTAGTTTTTCCTTAGTTTGGAAGTAGTGGAGGCGAATTATAACGTCTCTTGGGGTAGAGAGGTTCAGATTAGGGGGGCACAGTGCCCTGTGGGCCCGGTCCATTTCCAGGAGAGGTAGCGGCAGTTCGGGTGCCATTGCGGAGAAGATACCTTTCAGGGTAGTGATTAGGGTCTCTGGCTGGACTGCTTCGGGTAGGCCACGGAGCCGGATGTTATTCCTCCATGACCTGTTCTTAAGGTCCTCCAGGTTGTCCTCCATGGCGGTCAGTCGGCCGTGGAGGTAGGAGATTTCTTGGGACTGCGAGGTGGAGGCAGCTGTCAGTTTTGTGAGACGTACCTCTGTCTGGTCGGTGCGAGAGTTAAGTGCCTGCACGTCTGCTCTGAGGCCTGCCAGGTGTTTGCTGATCTCCTCTGCCACATGGCATTTAATGTTCGACATGGCTTCTTTCAGCATGTCTCTGAGGCTCCCGATGGTGAGGGGGGTCGAGGGGTCTGATGTGGGGTCGGTCCCCTCCGGTTCGGTACCTTGGTCGTCCCCGTGGTAGGACGGCCTCTGTGAGTCCCCCGGCGTGCGGAACATGGAGGCTACCAACGGGGTAAGTTCTTTTTTTTTTTTCGCAGCCCATTTCGGGGAGCCTTGTGTCGGTAGTTCGCCTGGAGGCAATTTGGGGGGTATTGGGGCCGTGTGTGATGCAGATGGTGGCTGATTCTGTGCTTGGGGGAGAGGGAGCTGTGGAATCAAGCGTCCATCTTCCTCCAAGGTTAGGCTCCCCCCCCATACATTATTCTACTTGCTAATAAAATATGGGAGCTTACCTCTCGCTAAGTGAGTTTTTTGAAAACCTAAGACTATTGCGTCTGTACATTTAGCTTCCTACATAAGGAGGCGTCTCTTATATGAAGTATTCAGACCTCTAACATTCAGTAATATTTTCAGAATAGAAGTAAAAAAAGGTGTAACCAAAGTATATATATATATATAAACAGCTAGAAAGTAGACTACATTCCCCTCCATATTTTCACAGTCACTACCAGATATGATAATTATTACAAACATATAATATCCACTGCAAGAGAGCCAAAGAGGATTTTCTCCATTCACCCATAGAGTGAAGAATTTCCAGAGTGATTAGAGACTCCTGTCACTTATGTCAGAATTCCTCTGAAGAAGGTGGTCTTAAGCATAAACTTACAAGACAGAAAAGTGCTGGTGCGCAAAAATATGTGGAGACACCACAAATGTGTCAAAGTATTTTTAAACTGTATCAGCAATACCAATAGTGTTATCCCAAATAACACACATATGTAAAAAAGCCCACCTATGTGAATATACTTATAACCTGCTGGAATATACACAGGATATCTGTAGGGTAGGAGACAAAGAGAATGTGCACTCCTAGTGCAATAAAGTACTTAAAAAATTATAAAAGTACTTAAAATTAATTAAAATCAATGCCCTCAAAAGCATTAAGCATAAACTTGTTTTATTATCACTCTAAGACAGTGGTTCCCAACCATTTTACACATGAGTACCCCATGGCAGTCCATTTCTATAAATTCTACCACTCACATTATCAAAATGTTTGTATATAATATAGTTGCTGTTATTTCAAATGTATACGTTTTTGTCTGCCCCATCTACCCTTTTTCTCTGTCCCAGTCTCTCCCTCCTTCTCCTCTCCCCCAGGCTCGCCCTGCTCCTTCTCTTCCCCAGGCTTCCCATGATTCTCCTAGTGCAATAAAGTACTTAAAAAATTATAAAAGTACTTAAAATTAATTAAAATCAATGCCCTCAAAAGCATTAAGCATAAACTTGTTTTATTATCACTCTAAGACAGTGGTTTCCAACCATTTTACACATGAGGACCCCATGGCAGTCCATTTCCATAAATTCTACCACTCACATTATCAAAATGTTTGTATATAATATAGTTGCTGTTATTTCAAATGTATACGTTTTTGTCTGCCCCATCTACCCTTTTTCTCTGTCCCAGTCTCTCCCTCCTTCTCCTCTCCCCCAGGCTCGCCCTGCTCCTTCTCTTCCCCAGGCTTCCCATGATTCTCCTCTGCCCCAGGTTCCCCTGCTCCTCCTTCATCTGTCACAGGCTAACCTTGCTTTTCTTCTGCCCCAGGCTCCCCTGCTTTTCCTTTGCCGAATGCTCCCCTGCTCCAGGCTCTCCTGCCCCTGGCTCACTTTCCCCTCCTCTATCCTAGGCTCTCCCTGCTTCTCCTCTATCCAGGCTTCCCTGCCCTGGGCTTCCTTGCCCATTCTCTGTCCCAGGCTCTCCCTGCACCTCCTTTACCCCAGGTTCTCCTTACATCTTCTCCTCTGCCCCAGGCTCTCCTTGCTTTTCTCCTGCTCCATGCTCCCCTGGTCTCTCCTGCTCCATGCTCCTCTTCTACCTCTACCTTTCATGCTTCAGGCTCCCCTGTTTTTCTACTACCGCAGGCTCCCCTGTTCCTCTTCTGCCCCAGGATCCCCTGCTCCTCCTCCACCTCAGGCTCTTCTCCACCTAAGGTTCAAATGCTCCTCCTCTGCACCAGTTTCCCCTGCTTTTCTGCTGCCCAAGGCTCCCATGCTTCTCCTCTGTCCCAGTCTCCCCTGCTCCTCCTCTGCCCTGGGGGATGGTGAATGTGTGTGTATGGTGGGGCATTGTGTAAGGAGGGTGACAGTGGACAGGAAGGTGACAGTGTGTATGGAGAGGGGAAGTGTGAGGTGACAGCATGGGTGGCAGTGTTTGTGATAGTGTGGGGGCGCAGTGTGTGGTGAAGGTGACAGTGTGGGGGGGTCAGTGTGTGGGAAGAGCAGTGTGTGGGGAGGGTGACAGTGTGGTGGTCAGAATGTGGGACGGGGCAGTGTGGCATAGTGGTGGGGCAGTGTGTAGGTGGGGGAGGTTTTTGGTGCTCGCAACAATGTGGGGGGACAGTGTGTGTGGAGGGGGCAGTGTGAAAGTCTGAGGGGACAGTGTGACAGTGTGGGGAGGGTGACAATGTGGGGTGTATTGTTTTTAGCGCGAGACTGGCCAGGCATTTGCCTTAAGCGGCACTTTCAGGGGGGCAGCAAGAAACTGCACCTCCAAATGCCCAGGCAGATGCCTTGTCAGCCTTTTTGTCCTGGGGGCCCAAGAGCTGGCCGGCTGGCCACCTTGGGTCCCCCCTAGGCTAGCATCAGCTAATTTTGCCGGCATCACTAAGTGGTACTCAAGGGAGCTGAGCAGGAAGATCAGAGCTCCCCCATCATCTGCATTGACCACCGACTGCCCCCAACAGTTAAAGGATCCTCACTGGACCCCAGGGAAATAGAGAATCCACTTCAGCACTCCTAAAGGTAGGGAGGCTGGGTAGATTAAATTTTTTAAAAAAATTAATAAATTGTGAGTGTATCAGTGTGTGTGTGTGTCTGTTAGTGAGTGTGCATCTTTGTCAGTGAAAGTGTATGTGTGTCTGTCAGTGTGTGTCTCTGTCAATGAGAAAGTGCGTCTATCACTGAGAGAGTATGTGTGCCTGTCAGTGTGTGTCTGACACTAAGTGGGTGGGTGTCGGTCAGTGAGTGTGTATGCATTTCTGTCAGTAGGTGTGCATGTGTGTCTGTCAGTGACTATACGTATGTCTCTCAGTGTGTGTGTCTGACACTGAGTGTGTGTTTCTGTCAGTAAAAAGATAGATACAAGGTGTAATAAATCACAACTACTAAAACTAGCAGCTACATACGTTTCACAAGCGTCTGGAAATGAGTGTTAGCTCAAAAATCAAAAAAGTATGTGCGCTCAAAAATAGATACTTTAGAAAATATATCATATATTTATTGAGATATAACTCATATAAAATAAATATAAATAGAATAAATCAAAACAAACAATAAATGAATAAAAATAAAAACATGAACCCACTGTTCTAGACAATGCACAAATAAACTCTAGATTATAGATACATAGTATAAGGAAGAATATCAAAACAGCTGCGTAAAAGATAACACAAATTATATAAAAAAGAAACAACACAAGATATATACAAATGAGAGAAAAATAATAAATAAAGAAATAGTACCTGCCTCGGTGTGGGCCCCCACCGAGGTATATATGTATGAAGATCGGTACTTGAAAGAAGAAAACCAAATAAAAAATAAATAAATGTAAGTAGGAGTTCTAGGCAGCAGACCTCCGTCAGATGCCGATGAAATACACCGCGGTCGAGATCTTCAAAAAAGACCGCGGTGTAGTTGTAGCAGACCGCCCACAGGTACAACTGATAGAAAACAAACGAGCTGTGAACTTATACCGCGGTCCGTATCTTCACAAAAGACCGCGGTATAGATGAATGAAACAGCGGTCAGTATATCTGAAGGTCCTCACTTTCCAGAAATCCGGAGTGCGATGACACAAAGAACTCTCACTCACAAATAAATAACATAAATAAATATGAAAATAACATAAAAATAGGCAGCCGAAAAAAACAGCGGGTCCAATAATGCAGCCACGTCTGTGTTTCTGTCAGTGACTATGTATGTATGTCTGTCAGTGAGTGTGCATATGTGTCTTGCCAGTAAATGCGTGTCCGTCAGTGAGTGTGTCTGTCAGTGCGTGTGTGTAAGGCTGTCAATTTGCTTGTCTGTGCATGTGTATGTGTATTTCAGTGAGTGTATGTATCTCAGTGAAAGTGTGTGTCTGTTAAACAGTGTATGTGCCAATGACTGTGTATCTGTCAGTGAGCGTATGTCAGTTTCCGCATCAATGAGGGGTGTGTCTGTCTGTCAAAGAGCCTGTTGATTTTAAACAGCAAGCTAAATTTTGATTTGGGAAGGGGGAAGGGGCGAGTTTTGTCATGACTAGGGCAGCACAAAACCAAAGTACACCAATTTGGGGGGAAGGGCAGTGTTTTGTGGTGGTGACAGTGTGGGGGGCAGTGTGTGAGGAGGGGGCAGTGTGACCATGTGGAAGTGTAGGGGGCAGTGTGAAAGTATGAGCAGACAGTGTGGGGGGCATTGTGTGAGTGATTGACAGTGTGGGGGGCAGTGTTTGGGAATGGTGACAGTGGGGGGGGCAGTGTGATAGTTTGGGGTCAGTGTTGTGAAGATGGTGGCAGTGTGACAGTGTGAGGGGCAGTGTGTGAGTGGGTGACAGTGTGGGGGGCAGTGTTTTGGCATGGTGACAGTGTGGGGGGCAGTGTTTGGGAATGGTGACAGTGTGGGGGGCAGTGTGATAGTTTGGGGTCAGTGTTGTCAAGATGGCGGTGGTGTGACAGCGTGAGGGACAGTGTGTGAGTGGGTGACAGTGTGGGGGCAATGTTTTGGCATGGTGACAGTGTGAGGTGACAGTGTGGGGGGCAGTGTTTTGGCATGGTGACAGTGTGAGGTGGGAGGCAGTGCTTGTGGAGTGTGACAGTGTGGGGGACAGTGTTATGGGGATGGGTAGCATGACAGTGTGGGGGGTAGTGCAACAGTGTGGGAGGCAGTGTTGTAGGGATAGGGCAGTGTGACAGTGTGGGAGGCAGTGTTCTGGGAATGGGGCATTGTGAGAGGGGCAGTGTGACAGTGTGGGAGGGGGCAGTGTGTGAGAGGGCAGTGTGAAAGTGTGTAAGAGG